TCCCAGCAGGTTTCTTTGCAGGCACACGCTTGGCAGGCTTCTTTTGTAGGTTGCTGACTGTAGAGGAATCATCGTTGCCATACTCATGCTCACTCGCTGATGCTGAGAAAGAATCACGGCTTAGGCTTTTCTCACTGCCCAATGCATTGGCATCATGCACCCACGCATTTGACTTTCGCAGCTCATCATTCAGGCCAGAGGGCTTGCCCTTTGGCTCTTCGCCCAAGGTACCGACAGATGGCAGATCTAAATCCATGCTTTCAGCCAGAACACAATCTAGCAGGAACCAGCTTTCAATGCCACTGTGATGACAGAACAACCAACAGCTAATTCAAGGATACAACAATGTGCCTTCATGTGGTCCAGGCCACCTGGCTCTTCCTTCTGCTCAGCCTTGACTTCCTCCTCTTCATCCTCAGACTTTACCGCCTCGCCGGCCGCCTGGCAGAATTCGAGTTGAGGCTGAATGAATGGCCTTCCATGGTTTCAGGCTTATGAACCCAATACCCTGAACCCTAAACCTTAAATCTTAAGACCTACATCCCCTAAAGCCCCAAACCCTGAACCCCCAACCCATGAACCCCCAAACCCTACCTAAAGACTCAGATGTCCTAAGCTGTGCTTTTTGTCATTTCCAAACCAGCGAAGCATTCAGAATTTAAGGGTTTAGGACTCTTGGGCTTAAGACATAGGGTCTAAGGACTAGGGTCCAAGGTTTAGGATTCAGGGTAAGTTCAACTGGAGAAAACTCTGCCATGACAGACAGTGAAGCGCAGTTCAGGTGTTTAGGGTTTGGGTGCTTTAGGGGGTGTAGAGGGGGGGTTCAGGGTGGGCCCATTTTGCACGAAATGTTAGTGCTTGTTTGTGCGGTTTGGAAGGATTTGGTAGGGGGTTTCGTGGAGCCCAGTGGTTTGTTTGGGGGGCCTTCAAGATGGGAACCTGGAGCCTGAAGCCTCAGAGCTCAGCCCCAAGCCCCACATCCCCTAAAATAATGTGAACTGAACATCAGACCCAAACTTCAAAAATTTCCCTAAGCACCCCTGCACAGGGTTCCAACCTTCAGGCCTCCTGAGCCCCGAGCCCACATCCAGCCCGAAAATCATAGCCGCAGACCACATAAATCTAAAGTCTAGCCTCTAAAACCCTTCAACATCAAAACCACACAACTGAGGTGCTCTCATACCCTTGGCTGCAGCACATGGCTTTTCAAGGAGCCACATAATATTAGAGGGATAGGTTCAGATTGGACAAATGGTGATTTGCAGAATCCTTGAGTACTCACTTATTATATGTAGGTAAATCTTGATAGGGTCCAAGAATCAGAAACCGCGGCCTTCTTGCGTTCTTTCTCCTCCGACTCGAAAAGCCTTTGGCCCAGCAGTGATGAAATCAGCTCAGCCAATGATAATACAAACTGGGGCTTAGACACAATCACATCTTGGAATGTCTTGTCAATCTCTTGATGATCAGGCCAATCCGGTGCCTGGAAGGTAATGTCAGGGCTTCAGGGCTGTGATTCTGCACTGAAGGGTCAGAGCCTTTGGGGGCTTATGGAAATTAGGGGGGTTGGGTTGCTGAGGAAGTTTACATTATTATCATTCCATACTTGTTCCGTGTTCCCCACCTGCTTGCGGTTCTTGAGAAGCTGCTTGTAGGTTGCCAGGTAGGTGTCATTGAAGATGCAGTTCTGGCAGGGAACATCATTTCAGGTTTTCATGGAGATTCAGGGTGACCATGACTTAAAGGCAAAGTCCCAGCCTCCACATGATCAAAGAACTTCAATGCAGATTTCGGCCATCCTCACGATGCACTTGTAGTACCCAAAGTTACCCAGAGCTACAGCAATCAGGGATGAGTCCTGCTTTCCAAGTCAAGTCTGGCGTTTCACCTTTGGCCCCGCAGAACCTGCAAAGGAGAACCAGTAGCAGGCAGCAGGAGTCCAAGTAGAAGCAGCAAGACACAAGTGCCCAAGTAGAGTCAAGCATGCAATTGCAAATCAATCGCGTAGCTTCCGGAAGCTCTCATGGCTTTCAAAGACCTCAAGCATCTTGTTCTTCACAGCTGTGTCCCACGAGAACTTCCTTAGGCAAGCCCAGTGGCAGAAGCATACACTTCAGAACCAGCGTGATCCATGATTAGATGAAGGCAGGAGTCCCGGCAGAATCAGTGAGGAGGAATTTCTTCATATCACTCATTCCCAGGAGCAAGTTGACTGTTCCACCCGGCCAGCTCTCTCCCAGCAGGGCGCGCTTCGTGAGAAATTCTGGTGAGAGCCATCC